TGGAGATATGTGTGTAAATAAATTCATATGGTCAGGCTGTAATATCTCAAAAATTATCCTTTTGATTAATTAAGCTAATAAAGGGTAAATTTATAAATTTAAATATAAATGAATTTGAAAATAGTTAGAAATAGCTATCGGGTTTGGTTTTAGCTTTTGAATTAGGTTCAGAAGTGAATTGATTCACCCGAGCTCAAATTGAAGAAAAAAGAAATCAAATTTTTGGCCTAGTGCATTATGCTGTAGCATAAATTACAAAATCAATTTAAAAAAAAAGAAAAAAAAGTCTGAAATAAGGGAAATGTCTTTGAAATAGAAGGAGGGTGATGAAGAGAGTTGTTCCTCTATTAAGGCATTAATCTTAGGCATGTTGAAGGTAATTGAAGCTTGATTTTACTTAGGTATGTCTTCCTTATCTCTTCTTTTTTCTCTCTACATGTTTTGGGAGTGAAATTTGAGATAAGGAGATGATGATTTTTGGACCTAAGACTATAGGTCCGAATCCATTAGTCTAAATAAGACTAATAGGATTTGTTTAAGTTATTTAAGCATAGATATAGTGGTTTTTTCATCCATGAGAGTAGGCTCTCAATTATGGACAAAATAATGCTCTAAAGTGCCATAAATGGAGGTGCTTGAGGTAGATAGCTGCCATTGATGTTGATTAAAGATTGTATTAGTATTAGTTAGAGCTAATAAGAGCTAATAAACCTAATATGGTGATTTAACTCAATATATAAAAGCTTTGGGTTATTAAAGTGTTGAAATTTGAGAGTTAAAAGTTAGTAATTTATGACATTGATGATGATTTTGGTTGTTAGATTATATATTAATGATTATTTAAGTTGTTGAGAGCTAAATGAAATTAATGGGAGTTAAGAAACTCATTGGATGTGAGGTTGATTTTATAGTTGAGGAATTTGATTATTAAAGTATAAAATTAGATGTTAGAAGTAGTGATTTTAATGATTAACAGTGATAGGTGTTAATGTAATTATAGACTAACCTCACAAAGCACCAGTGAGCTTGAATTTAGCTTCAAAAGCAAGTTGTAATTGAAGGGTGTCCTTTAACCTCTCAAAAGCTTAAGGTAAGTAAGAGAAACCTAGTTTATATAGTTGAATATTAATGGATTCTGTTAACCAAACCACACGTGAGAGCATGAGGGTCACACGTGAGTTTTGTCACACAAAATAAGTTGCATATTTATATACTCCAAAACACGCGTGAGACACATTAAAGTTCATGCTTGAATTGTCACATATACATGTCTAAAACTTTGATACAAGCCATTTCATGCATAATATGTTAAGATGCACACAACAAATGTCACCAACAGCTAGTAACACTATTCCAACGGCTTGTCAATCGCTAAAACTATATATGTCATACAATTCAAGTCTAGAACAAAGATTATGACTCTTGAGTGAACTTTTCATTATTTGAGCATTCTATAAAGCTTTCAATTTGTTTTTAAACATTTAGCATTCATGTGATCATTCTTGAAAAATTTTGTGGAAAAGCTCTCATAAGTTTATAAGCTTTCATTTATAATCTATCTACTCTTTAAGAGAGTTTTTTATGAAAGTTTTTCTTACTCATATGAAATCTTGAAAATAAATTTTTCAAGTGTTTGTAATAACTTGCTAAATTATAACAAAGATTGTTGTTGAATCAGGACAAGTTAAGTTTTGTAAGTTGTACTGTGGTGGTAAGCATCCATTAAAGCTCGTGATTTTAGTTAAAAATCTCAAATATAATTTTAAGGATTGAATATAGGCCAAGCTTAGGCTGAATCAGAATAAATCTTGTGTGTTTCATCTCTTTCCTTCTCACTCTAGTCTTTCACTCTTTTAAGTTTTCAAAAATTGTTAAGTGTCACCTAATTTACCCTCCTTTTGGATGCCAGTTTATCTAATAATTTAAGACAATTACTATGAGACATTCTAGCAATTTGGCAACTTCCTAATGCTTATGAGGGTACGGTTAGAAATTAATGACACCTCTATCATGTGTGTGTGAAAAGGAAAAATCATAGTCCAAAAGTTAGATAAAATACCTTTGGTCGAGTGTTTTGACCACCAATGGTGTGCTCAAATCAATACGTGATTAGTCTAATAGAATCTATGATTTTGGTCGAGGACCTTAGAGGATCGATGGATAAATAATCATGCTAGCATGTGTAGTTTTTATGAAAAGTGACTATAAATACATATTTACATATATAATTAGTATTTGTGAATATTACAATGATTTTGTTTACTGGTATATGGTTATTCCTATTAGTTTATAGGTTATGGTCAAGGCCCAAGAAATGGCCAATGACACTTGGTTTGGAAATTTAGATGTTCGGTGAAAATGACTTAAAATAATCATTTTATATTTGGGTGTCTAATTTTCAAACAAAATATCATATTTAAATAAAATCAATGTTATTAACTAGATTTTAAAATAATCTTTGTGTGGGTGCTTGAACCATCCTAATGAAACATTAGATGAGAAAACAATGCACGTCAAAAGTTCATATTAAAAGTGTTATTTGATAGCAAAATCTGATACTTGCGCTGTAGCATGCACATCATGTCACAAAATGAGAACATGTGGCTCTTGCCAAATGCCACAGCACAGAGCTACTGAGTTGATGAGTTTGGGTTAGTCTAGTCATATAGATTTAACCCAATTGTGTTAATAGCCTATGGATTTAGTCGCCACAGTTCAAGATGTTGGTGGGAATATATGAATCATGGATTGTGACTTGTAATATATATATATATATATATATATGGTTCTGTGTTAGGCTATGATCATATGATTTATTTGTTATTCCACTTTCCATGCTCATTTATGTTTTGACTTATTAATAGGTAGTGTAGCTTATTTGATAGTTTAAACTTTGCCTCACTCTATGGTTATAATTTTATAAATGATAGCGTAAGCATTAGTAGGGGCAAAGGGGAAGCCAATCAAGGCAAAGAGTATATGGGCTCTACTTCTTGTAACTTGCCCATTGAGTTTTGATTAACAATATGTGTAATTGAATATATATGTTTACATCGCCAACTGAGTGTACTTACATGTATTATGTGACCGTTATTATGGTAAATTGGCTAGGGAGTGTATTTCTTAGTAAGACTATGATATGAGGCCAAATTACTCATGCAATTGCATGATAAATTATGCTCATCTTGTTATTTTGATGATTGCATGTTGTTGATTGGACAAATGCTATATATGTGGAGATTGCCCTTTTTGTGAAGTGGGGAATAAATGGTCATATTGTGTATAAATGTTAGTGTTTATCAGTTCATTGTACTTGATTCAAACCTCCGCGAAGGCTAATGGAATACAATTTAGGTTTAGAGCATTTGGATGAGTTTTAAGCTTGAAAATGTAGTCTTTTGGCATCTAGGTGTTCGACTTTCAAATGATTTATATTTTTGATGTGAAACATATGCCATTAGCTAGATTATTGTGTAAGCTTTATATAGGTGTTTGAATTGCTCAGATTGAATGTTAGATGAATTGATAGCGCATGTTAGAATATTTGCCTTTAATGTTGCCATGACAGCACGTGTGCTATCATGAAATGCAATGTGCACTGTGACAAAAAGTGTTATGCACTGCGGCACGTTATAACATGGCAATTGGCCATGACTAATAGTGTTTTCCCTGCAACTTACTCCTTCTATGTCATCTACCATGATGAATGACATGTTGGCAACTATAGTTGATCTAGAGATGGAGAAATTATAGTTTTACCCTAGCTTTAAGTATTTCTTTTTGTTTTAGTCCTTGTGCTTCCCTGTTATGTTAAACTCTAATTTTTAATCACATGTTGAGCTCAACCATTATTTTTAAAAGAGTTTTGCCAGGATCCCAGTTCTTGACTATTTTTAAAATTATGTAAACCCCTTCTATTGTGAGTCATTAGAATTAATGGTTCCCTAATGACTATTGTGATAATTTGTATGGTATGTTCTAGTAATGTCATAGTGGATATTACATTAGTCGCTAATAATTAAGGGAAGAAAAAGAACTATTCTTTGGGTTTTGTTTGACCCATGTCTAGATCTTGCACATGAGTGCAAGTGAGATTCGGGAAAATTTTTGGATTGAGTTTGAAGGGAAAAATCTTTATTTAGATGAGAGTGTCTAAATCAATCTCCATTGTGAAGGACCCAAGCATTTGGGAGAACCTGGGGTTAATGCTTTTACAATCCTTAAAGATCTCTTTTTCTCATTTATTCAAGTAGTTATTTATTAATGAATGTTAATTAATACTCATATTTTCAAAATGTACGTGTTGAAAAACAAACAATTTCTTGATATCATATTATATCTTAAGCTTTCTTGATGTCTAAGTAAACTGACGTGTTATTAAGGAAATGTCAAAAATGAAACATAGGGCTAGCTAATGGGAGCATATGATAGCTTTCTTAGCTTAGCCTTACTAGAGATAGAGAGAGAAATGGAGGAAAGTAATGGAAGAAGAAAAAGGAAATAGAGAATATAACAACAATGGAGATCAACGTTTGTGTGTGTGTTGGGGGGGGGGGTTGATCTCACAATCTTGCACACAATAACTTCCTCAAAATGTTTCACCTACATTGTTGGCTACAACCCCATGGTGCTTCTATTTCTATCCACCAAATCAAGAACTAGAAAAACTATTATAAACAGAAAATGAGGTCATACGAGAAAAAAGCCAAAATAAAATAAAAGAAAGATAAGAGAAGCTGGGTTGTAGCAAAACAGAGATAAAAATAGGAAAAGAAACTGTATCATATACATACATACATAACTGTATTTCAAAAGGATCGTGTTCTTTGTTCTCAAAATAAACCCTTTTGAAGGATCTATTTGTAGGAAGAAAAGCATAAACTCCCAAAATTACAAGGAGTTGGAAGTAAATAAAATCTCAAGAGTTCCCAGTAGTTAGCAGAGAGAGAGAGAGAAAAAAAAATAAGTTTTGAGTGTCTACAAAGAAGAGAAAGAAGTACCTGTTATTAGCATATTCATAGAGACGACCTCGGCTAGAGAAGACGATTAGAGCAACTTCTGCATCACAGAGCACAGATAGTTCATAAGCCTTCTTGAGCAGTCCATTTCTGCGTTTGCAGAAGGTGACTTGGCGATTTGTAGTGTTCTCAATCCTCTTGATCTCAATCTTCCCCCTTCCCGTCTTCCTCTGGGGTGAAACTGACATGGATTGCTGGCTTTGGAAATCCATCGCTCCGACTTAATTAATTTCAACCTGAAAATCAAGTGAGCCACATCAGCAATTAATATTTCAAGAAACAAAAAAGTGGATTCTGGGTGCTTCTATCGGCACAGGGAAAAATTGGAATCTCTCAAACAAAGCCATATATATATATATATATATATCTTCTCTTGGCATTCACTTGTATATCCTTAGTCATCTCCGGAAAGTTTTTTCCCATTTTGTTGGTGTAATAGTTTTGTGCAATCTTGTGCAATCTATATGTAGCAGAGGCTATGAGTTCCCAAATCTGGGATTTGAGGTGGTGGAAAAGATTGAATGACCCAAAAGAGGTGAAACACCTAAGATGGATTTGAAATCATGTTGCAGTATGAATTTGCTCACAAACCTGGGGGTGAGGAAACAGAACAGAGAATATAAATTAGGGGCAGCAAACAGAGATTTCTGGCTTGAATTTTGGTTCGCTTCTTCTTTTACAGATATCAGAACCACAGAAGATATATATATATATATATATATATATATCAGAAAATGAAAGCATAGCAGCCAAAGGGGTGGGTATTTATAAAAGTGAAGAAGGACCTTTCATCCATATATAATAGTTTATTCATCACAAACTCTACATTCATCTGCCATCTCTCTCTCTCTCTTTCTCAATATGTTATCACTTTATTTTTTTCATATGAATATAATGAAATGCAAAGCTGGGATTAAGAACCTTTAAAACAAACCTTATCAATAAATTTTAATTTCTCAGACTCAGAGGAACGATGAAGGACCTTAGTGATCAGTGAAAAAAATGAAAAATCGATAGAGAGAGAGAGAGCAGAGGAAGTTCAGAAAACGACTATTAATGTGGTGAAAAGGACGTTGGGCTAAGTTCCAAACTTTGAACCATTTGGTTGTTCCACCACACAAATCAGACGAACCCTCTTTGTTTGTTTCAGCCCACACATATATATTTCTATCTGTGAGTCTTCCAGAGTCCTATTATATAGATTTTTTTTTTTCGACGACAGGATCATGAAGGTTTCTGATCTATCTGAGCCATTGACGAAGACTCAAATGGAGTTGAAGATTGTTCCGTTTAGGGTAATGTACAAATCTCTTGAAACCATTTGCTTTTAGCTCAGTATTTGGATTAGCTTTTGTGTAACAAAGTGACAATTTTTAATCATAAATGCTTGAACAAGATTAATATATTCACAAAAGAGACCGTTTTAATGATTTTTAGTCATATATGTTTGATCATCACGGCATCTCCATGAAGAGTTCACATTAAGTGGTCAAATCTGGGCACTGAATTTTTCTGTTTTGAGAGGGTATTATATCCCCATAATTCTTATACGCTTGTGTGTGGGGACTAGCTTCTTGCATCATTCATTGTATGTAATTAAAAGGAAAAATTACATGTAAGTCTTGTAGAGAAGATTTATTCATAAATAAGTTTCATGAAATTCAGAAATTACAGCCAAGTTCATTGAGACCTAAGTATAATTTGAAATTATGCTGCCCCTATTAAATATATATTACATCAATTAAACAATTAATTTACAATTAATTCATCAGCAATTTATAATTATAATTTTAATATTTTATAACTTTAATTTCACATATCCAATAGTTTAACAATTATGTGTTATAAACAAAGTTTAACATTAATTGTTTACAACTACTTCATCATTAATTTATAATTATAACTTTTTATAACTATAACTTTATATAGTCAATAGTTAAATTATTGGATATATAAAGTTATAGTTATAAAAAGTTGAGTTTTTTGTTGTAAATTACTGATAAAATAGTTATAAATTATTTGACTAATGTAATATATATATATATATATATTTAATAGGGACATTATTGTCTTTTTATCTAAATTTTAAATTACACTCATGTTTCAAAGGACCTAGTTATAGTTTTTAAATTTTGTAAGACTTATTTATAAATAAAACAACACTATGAAGCTTATATTTAATTTTTTTCTAATTATACTTGTGTGTCCACTGTATATACACTCACACACATGACTGTCGTGTGACAACTTCTCCTTGTTGTAAATTACTCACTTTGCCTTAATTTATAAAATATTTTTAAATAAAATTATATATATCAATAAAGCTCATTAAATATATTATACAATTTTATTTTTTAAAAATAAAAATAAAAATTTCTAAAAATGCCATTTATTTACTATTTCATTTGTGAAAAAATATTAAAAAGAGAAAGAATATAATGAAAAAAGTAATATTAAAAAAGTATTATTAATAAAATTTTATTTTTTAATATATTTTATATTTTAAGAAATCAAATTTCTTTTAGAAGTATCTTATAATTTTAAATGGATATAGTAATTCACTTTTTGCATGGTAAATTTATAAATATGTATGCACTTGCAGGTGTATAATAATAGTATATCTAGTATATGTTAATAAAAATTATTATTATTCACTAGTACATATATTAAAAAATATTTTGGATGAGTTTTATTGTATGGATACCAACTTTTTTTTAATTTACCATATACTCTCTCTCTGTTTTTATTTACAAGAAAAACTATCCCTTTTAATTTATTTTTTATATAAATAAAATCACATTTTTTAATAAGTATTTATTGCAAACATACTAAATTATCCCTCTTAATTTTATCATTCATAGTCATAAGAAATAATCAATAAAGGTTTAATTAACACAATTAATAAAGGATATTGTAGTCTTATTCTTTTACTTTTACACAAAATTAATATAGTTAACTGATTTTTTTAAATTATGTGATATAATTTTTTCTTTTACAAATAGAAATAGATAGAGTATTTCCTTCATACTAATATATAAGGAAAAATAATTGTATTTCAGGTTTGAAAAAGTTCGTTATTTTTTTTAATTATGTCTGATGTTGAATTATATTCCTAAAATACCCCTATTATTAATGTTTAGACTATGTTCCTACCTTGACGATGATCATTTATTGCCACTTGAAAACGCGTTTGTTTATTTTTAAAACCAAAAAATTTGATGGTTAAATATTATTGCTTATATGCTGGAAAAAAAAAAATATATCATTGCTTATACATATGAGACCGGATCACTTCGGAGGGAGTATTACTTTTATTTAGATTTAAATATTTATTCTCATTATTATATATTATTTTTTATTTTTCATTTCAAACATGTGCTATTTAAAAAATACACAAACTCATTTATGATAGGTCTAACCAAGATTTGACTATATGTGGTGCAACTATCGAACTATAAACCATTCTCTTGAACATATTGACTTGTTTCTGATTTTCTCTTGCAACTTAGTGTTACTGGGATTCTTGGCTCGCACAATAAAATGAAATAAAGAAAAAATACAATATTTAATTAGGTGTTCTGGCAAGTCTTCCATTAAGATTTTGATTTCATTGGGACCATGACATCCAACGATCGACTACTATAAAAAAATAATTTCATGAATAAAGAATAACACTTGAATTCTGGAGTAAATTAATAATGATATTACGCTACATATATACACACTGGTTGCTACCATTCGTATGTTATTGATTGAGTTTATCCCTACAAAAATATCAATGTGTACGTACGGTTAATTAGTTAGGAAAATAACAGAAAAATCATTCCAAAATGTGTAAATGATAATGAAATCATGAGAAATGTCAAAAAAAATTTAAGTTCTTTAGGACCTTTCTAACTTTAATAATTTTTGGTGAAATAATTAAAATACTATCAATTTAAAATAAAAGTAAATATTGGTAATTACTTTATTTGAAGTAGTGATTACTTTTTCTAATAATAATTAAAATAGAACAAGCAATTATAACTTTTCTTTGTGCAAAATACAACTTTAGTGAATAAAAAATTTTTATAGGAGAAATTGTAATTACTTATTCTATTTTAATCATTGCAAAAAAAAAGTAATTATTACCAAAACTAAAATAATCATGAATATTTATGACACTTAAATTTCAATGAATCAAAAAATTTACACAAATAAAATTGTAATTGCATGTTTTATTCTGGCTATTATTAGAAGACAAATAATTATTATTTAAATTAAAGTAGTTACTACTAATATTTACATTTTTTATTTTAAATTGAGGATATCTTAATCATTTCAAAAAAAATATTAATATCAAAAAAGTTCTTAGGAACTTAAAAAAATTATAATATTTCACTTGACCTCGTTATTATTTACAAATTTCATGAAAATTTTTTTTGTTAATTTTTCTAATTAGTTTGTGGGCTTTTTTTACCAATATAATGTAAACACTAAAAGAAATTATCTAAATGTTGCAACATGAAAAGTATTTATTAAAATACTACACAAAAAATCATTTAGATTGGGAATAAGTTTGAGATTGTGAACAACTAGTTCAAGCAAAAAAACAATTTTAGAATTAAAAATTATTTTTTTATTGAATGAAAAGTAAAGTCATTCACAAGATAAATGATTTTAAATTTTTTTATTAACGTGACATTTTATTGGAGAATTTCTACTTTCTCACGTGTGAATGATTTGTCAAATCCTCATCCAAAAACAATGATTTTCCAAGGACCCTCAACATGCTCCACTAAAAATTGAGTTGCCTCGTCCATAAATTTTTTAAGATAGACTGAGCAAGCAATGTGGTGGCTACTTATTTACCCAACCATCGATTGAAAATTAAATATATAGGGGAATAAGGGCATTAAAATTTTAGTTAATCTCATTACATGCCAACCTCATCATTATTATCACCTCCTTTCACCTCTTTCAATTTCATTCAATTTGAGTCTCATTACATGCCACCTTTATCATCATCCCTTTTCAATTCACCCACTCATACTCAATTTGGATAGTTCATGTCTTTACTTGATGATCATGTATAATTTTCAATTAAATACAACACTTCTACTTTAAACATAGTGGAACATCAAATAAAACATATGCCACCACTTGATAGTCAATTTCTTTTGTTGAATTATCTTAGTTTGATTTAAATATGCTGACTACATAGATAAATGAAACACTAAAATCTCAAGAAGAGAGGACCATACAATAACAACAAATGGCCATAATATATGAGAAGGAGAACAAGATATAATACCAAAAGTAATGATTTTTAAGGTAAATTAATTTTTATTTTTCGTTCATGTAACTTAATCATTCATTATTAATTTTCATAAGACATAATAATTATTTATTTATTATTAATAATTTTTAATTTAATACACCTTATAATAATTCCTCAATCATCTTAGTAACAATTATTTACTCATTGTTTTCATTTAAATGGTTACTAAATTATTAGACAAATCATTTGATATGAGAGGGGTAGATGATGTTGAGAAATTGTTCTTGCCAAGAACAAATTTGGATGCATTCGAGATTATATATTGAAGAAATCATTCTTGATTTAATGAATTTTATAAATCATTCAATGTAAGAAAAAATTTTAGGTGTAATATTTTGGAAAATAATTCTCACAGCATAGTATTTTGATTTTTTTTACTGTGTATAATATCTATATGAAAAAACCTAGTTTGGGTGATGTTTATGTAAATAATTATATATAAACAGGGAAGCATGCGAGGGCATGTGGAATCTTGCAAAGTGGGACTGAGGCTTGTGGAAGAGACTATGGAGATTGATTGTACCTACGAATAGGGAATTGTTGCTTTCATGCATTGTGCTTGTGCATTACTGAATAACCAGGTGTCATCAAGTTTGGCATATTTTTTTAACTACAACAAAATTTTTAATTCTTTAAATTTATTTCAATCACCGATTTTGTTATTGAAATTTAATCTGATGATGTTATTTTTAAGATTAAAAGAATTGATCGTGAACTGTTATAAACCTTTTAAAAATTTAATTGACAAAATTTAAATTTGGAAAAATAAAATTAATAATTGAAACAAATTTGAAAAAAAATACTCCATCTGTTCAAAAATATAAAATATTTTTAATATAATTTCA